GCGGAACGAGCCGGAAGACGAGCTACTACGCAACTTCGCAGGGCAGGTATCTGCCCATTTTTCAAGAGCAAGATCCATCTTTAGTGAGCGCTACGGATTGTATGTTCTGATGGTTAAGGAAACAAACCCTTGACAAATATGAATAGCTAGTTCAACTTAACCAACTCGCTGAGGCAGCATCCGTTTTGGGTCGAGGTGCGGACCGTCTACTTCACTTGCAATGCAAAGTACATGGCGAAGCTCTAGCGAAAGGTTCATCCCCGAGCTGTAGGGTTGGGAAGTCATGGATTTGCGTCGTAGGGGAAAGGAGGTCATTCGATATTACCTAGGATAGCAGTGTGGTATTGGCGGTGTTGCTGGTCCCAATGCTGCTACCGCAGTCTGTGCGGTTCGACGCTGCTGCACGAGCAGTTTCGTTGTGTCTCCAATTTATTTGCGTCTTGTTGCTCTCACTGCAGAGGAGTTTCTTGTTGAGTGCCTCCAGGGCTACCGTGGTCTGAGCTGGCTCCCCCGTTGCACGGATCTGATTGCACTTGAGGTACGAAACGCAGGGAGGGAAAAAGACTTAGCAAAGCTTACCTGCACACGAACGTCGGGAGCACGTTGATCGTAGGGTCTTACACGGGGAGCAGGCAGGCGCGGTTGCTGCTCAACAAGGCTACAACAAGTTAGCTATGTGGTGCAAACGGGGCTGTTGATGGGTATGAGTGGCAGTTGGTGGAGAGCCGCAAGTTGGAAGATTTCGCCGGCCTTACGTTTCGGGACATGATTGCTGCTGCAGAGACTCGCCAGTTTATCGTTACCGTGAAAGCAGGATTCACAGTGTATGTCAGAGTATGGTAATTGCGGACAGTATCTTCAACATGTGTGAATGAGCAGTTGTTGAAAGACAAGGCTGCAAATACTGTGTATAGTTGACTTATCACTTCCTTCGGTCTACTCTTGAGTAGTTTCTGCGTTGTCGAGCGCATCTGCTCCTGCCTTTTTGCAAAGCGCGGGAACCCTCCCGACCATGTCACGCAGGAGTAAAACGAAAGCTAAACAGAGACAACTTAGGAACGACGCAAAGTATCCCGCGAACCACCGAGACGGTCGCGGTAGCGCCGTCCCTTCGCCGCTCTAACCGGGTGTGCCAGTTATACATCCCGCGGTCCCCTACGACAGGATAGGTTCCCGCGGGGTATAAGCATTCCCTCCCTAAGGGGCTGTCACCACCCTTAGAGGCATATCCCTACCGAGCTACTGACCCACGTGCGAAAACTTTTAGATGCAATCGCAGAGGTAGATCAACCGAGGGTTTGCTCGTTCGCGGTAGTATAGATATGCTTAGTTAACGCCTATTGAACTCGTACGTCGTTCCTAGGGTGCTGATTAGTGAGGGAACCCGATGCGCTCGATAGCGTATCGCTGTGCTATTTCAAGGACTGATAAATTGAGAATTCCTTCCTGATCTTAAGGGTGCAGTGCAGCGACAACTATTTGGAGGACTCGGAGAGGCGTTGAAGACTTAGAAGAGTAGTCAAGCTTGCAAAGGGGGTTATTGTTGAGAACTAGGAGGTCGTCAGAGGGTTGACTTCAGCAGTTCGACTTCAATTTTGACCAAGCTGCTGCGTACCTTGGTCGCCATTGCGGGGCCCTCATGCGCATGAAGGTTCCAAGACCCTCTCCTGAGAGTTGAGTTTGTTCCCCTCCTGTATCTCGAAAGTCCGAAACCCTCCTTCTGCCGTTCTTACTCTAAGTCTACTCCTGTTCAGAGAGGAAGGCGGCAGGCAAGATTGCAACCCGTAGGACCGCAATAAGACTTTGTGGGTCAGCCCACCGATTGTGGGAGCTTTGCCGGAACTCAGGAGAAGTTCTGGAGGCAGGGAACTGAGAGGTAAAAGTTTCATTTTCCTTCTATAAACCCAGTTATAACCCCTATCTGTATTCCTTGTTACATTTTGACTGAGTACATTGTGCGTACCACTACGTTGACTTTTAGTTTGACTTTTAAGATATGATTCAGATTTAACTAAAGGAATGTAAGCATAATGTCAGTTTCAATTTTATTGTGTGATTGAAAGCGGGTTGTGGGATTGCATCTGGGGGAAGGATGAGAGGAATGCAGTATTGTTTGCGTTTGACCGGGTCTATCAAAAGTTTGGGGAGGCCCAGTGCTATGTTTATTTTTTAACTGCTTGGAGAACTAGACATGTTCCATAAGTTTGGGTGGTCTGGTTGCTCTAACTTGCGAGGATTGTTTTTGCTTGATTTCTTTAGGGACCAAACAATGTCCCATAAGCTTGGGTGACTTGGTTGCCTTGCATATTTTTAGTTTTCTCAATTTCTTTTGGTTTTGAACGGGAGGTCTGAACATGTTCCATAAGTTTGGGTGGCTTAACCTCTTCGTGCGTTACCCTTAAGAAAATAAATCGGGCAGAGGACCAGACGTGTTCCATAAGTTTGGGTGGTCTTGGTCCAATGCCACGCACATGCTGGAACCAAAAGGTTATAATTTGGTTATATTTTATTACTACTTTACCTATGAACATGCTAGTACGACACTGTCCCATAAGTTTGGGTGGTCTGACTATAACTTATCACAAACCGAATAAAGTATTAACTATGAATAAACTTGTGGTAAGAAAAGGTAGGCTGAACCTCGAGCTAAAGATAACCGGTTCAGTCATATGCTACCTTAAAAGACTAAGTGCAGATAATTATATAAAACTTGGATACTTAAACAGTTCAGGGCGACCTTGGGCGGCCTAGTCATGTGCCCAAGGAGGAGAAAAGTTGTAATGCACTTTGTTTGTGTATATTCAATGGCTAAGTTAGACATGTTCCATAAGTTTCGATGGTCTAGCTTTATGCCTTATGTAAGCTGGGTATAAAGGGATAAATCATTGAAAGACTATGAACTACTGTTTGATAAGATTGACTTTCGGTTGGTGAGAGTACTCACCTTTGTGGTTTGGTCTTGCATATGGTTGAATGTGATTATTACTTAGTATGAGTTTCAGTTGACATATAGTTGCTTTAGATGCTCGCCACGCGCTAGAGCCATAGGAGTTAGTTTCAATTCGTGCATTTTCTGAGCTAAGTTTATTTTACTTAGGTCGATTTCTGTATTTTTTTTTATCGTTTGTTATACTTGGACTTGTATAAATCTTGGTAAGTTCCTTTCTCTACGGGAAGCGGTGCCGAAATTTTTACAAAACCAAAGAGTTAGTTAAATTTTGTCTTTTCAAAGTTCTAGTTATCTAACTTTCATATATGGCTTAGTAAAAATATGGAAAGTCTTATTTTTTTAAAGGGAGTGTTGCCCGAATTTTTACTAAATCAAGGAGTAAGACAAAATTTGACCTTAAGAAGTTAAAGTTATTTAAGCTTCTGAGCTTGGCTTTGTATGAATCTTGGAAGTCTCCTTTTCTAAAGGGAGTGCTTCCCAATTTTTTACAAATCTAAGAAGTTAGTTAAATATTGTCTCATTTAAACGCGAGTTTTGTTTTGAGTTCGTATCTAACTTAAGGAAAATCTGGGAACTCTCCTTTTCTAAAGGCAATGCTGCCCAAATTTTTACTAGTTCGGGGAGTTAAACAAAATTTGACTTTCCAAGAGTTAGAGAATATTTCAGTCTTTATATTCGAGCTAGTATAAATTCCAAAAAAACACTTTTCCTACGTGAAGCGCTGCCGAAATTTTCCTAATTTAGAGCAGATAGATTATATTTTGACAGGTGGTGATTCTAGCGATCCGCTCTGTATAGAGGAGTCTCTGCCAAAGGTCTACCTTTTCTCTGGGCACTTGCTTAGAGGTAGGCTTAAACTTAGTTTGCAGGAGAGTGAGATTGTAATATAGAGATTATTCTCGATGGACTTATAGATTTAGCTTGGCGATTGGTCTGTCTTGTATTATAGGTCCTCTTGATCATTTGATTCAGGATTTGGATTAGATTCAGCTTGATCCATTCAAGGATCATTTTTTATGATCAATGATAACATGTCGGTTGCCATTTGTCGGTTTACGACTCAACTCCAATACACTTATGCCACTCAACCTAAAGGCTTTAACCCTGTTGTTTGATTTGTTTCATTGTATTTTTACGTGGACTTTATTTGAATGGTCATCCAATAAAGATACTGAGTATTTTATTTTGAGAGTTGCACAAAGAGTGAGGCTTGTATGGCTAAAGCGAGGGGTGTGAGCGCAGAGAATGGTTGAAGTTGACCCCATGTAGTGCATGGACTTTTGGTTAGATCTTTGGTGTGATTGCAGGTATGTTTGGTGGTTCCGACCTGCGTAGCACGGCGAGCGAACATAATTTTTTTTCGTAAAAAAAAAATAAAAATAAAAAATTATTTTGTTTCGGTTTTTTATTTTTAACTCATAATTGACTACGAATTTGAGCATGACTCTAATGCAAAAGTTGCATGTATTGTTATTTTACATAACATATATTTTTTCAGATGTTTCTGATAACACGTTCGCAGGGTTTTTGACGCTTGTTCGAGTTCAGGCGAACACGTTTGCGTTCGCCTTCGAACGCGAACACGGTGCTACGTAGGTTCGGACCTGCGTAGCACCCCGTTCGCGTTCGCCAGCGAACGTGAACACGTTCGCCCGAACGCGAACGGGCTCCAGAAAACAGCGAACGCGAACGTATTTTTTTTGTTTTTTATATATATATATAGATAGGGTATTATAGGGGKGGGGGGGGGGGGGCATAGGTGGTGCCCCTGAACCTCCCCGGTGTCTCACAAGAGGTTAACGGGGCATCTGGTTTGCAGGCCTGAAATTTCTGAAATTAGGGTTTTAGGCTCAAATTTCATGTTTTTTTGGATGTGGTGGTGGTGAGGGGGGGCGGGGGGCGGTTCTCTGTTCTGCAACTGCACTTCCCCCCACCAGATCCACTCCGTCCCTCCACACAGCACACACAGACTGCCTGTCACAGTCTGTGTGTGCTGGCCAACAGACTTAACAGACTGTGACAGACTCTGTTATAGTCTGGGACAGTCAGTCCGTTGGGCAGCACACGCAGACTGTGACATACAGTCCGTTGGGCAGCACACATAGACTGTGCCCAACAGTATGTGTGACAGACTGTCTGTCACAGTTTGTGTGACCGACAGTCTGTCACAGTCTGTCCCATCCCGGAAGTCTGAATCCAAGTACACGGGATTCTCCCGGTACCGTCACGCGGCCTGCTCGGGCCTCTTTAACCAACCGGCGCGCCGTAACTGTCTGGGGCCGAAACAAATTTGCAAGATTGACAAATGCACGGCTTTGTGAAATTCGGGGCCCGCCTTCACTTAGGGCGAATGCGAATTGACTGCTGCGGGCCGGTGGCCTCGCATTCCCTCGTCCCTACTTCGATAGTCCTCTGAGAAGTCTCACTCCATCTGGAGCTTTCCTTTCTGCAAGGACTTCTCATATTGAGATACCACCTGAGGTGCAGTCTGCATGAGCTCCTCCCTCATGAAGAGTCTGTGTGCTGCCCCCCCGACTGACTGTCAGTCACTGTCTGTGTGTGCTGCCCCCCCCAACAGGCACACATATGTGGCAGCACACACACACACACTGTGACAGACTCTTTGACACACACACACAGACTGTGACAGCCCGTCACAGACGATTTGACACACACACATGCAGACCGTTTGACACACACACACAATGATCGACACACACATACAGACTGATCGACACACACATACAGATTATGACAGACTGTCACAGACTGTTTCACACACACACACACAGACTATTCGACACACTCATACACAAGACTGTGACAGACTGTTCGACGCATTCACACACGGACTGTTTGACACACACCCGCACACACACATAGACTGTTTAACACACACAAACTGTTTGACACACAGACTGTTTGATACACACCCGCACGCACACACAGACTGTTTGACACACACAGACTGTTTGACACACACAGACTGTTTGACACACAGACTTTTTGACACACACCCGCACACACACACAGACTGTTTGACACACTCATACACAAGACTGTGATAGACTGTCACAGACTGTTCGACCCCCCCCC